ATTTATTCTAAATAACTATTATTCTAAATAATTATTATTCTAATAATAATCTGTTTGCAAACATATTGTTAATAGCTTGAGTATAATAAATAAATGAAATTAAGTTAACAAATAAACACAGAGAACATAGACAGAGTACAGAGAACATTTAAACAAGATACGGGACAAAACGAACGACTAAGAAAAGTAATAAAATTTCCACTTACCAATTCTGAGTAGATCTCTTCATTCTTTAATTTTTTAGTAGTTCTTTCTCTTTCCTGCACTACTTATATTATATTATAATAATATTAAACTTTAAATAACTTGACATGCTGGCGTCACACAAATATTTTTTTAATAGAGAAATATTTTATTTTTAGTGTAAAAAATCGAAAAAATCGATTTTCCAATAATTTACTTCAATGTATTTTATATCTAGTATTTAATTGAAATTATTCAATAAAATACAAGCAAATCCTCAATTAAATAAAATTTATATAATCATCTCCCAAGTAGACTGTTTTGTGTTTAATACAATGATGATAACGGTTGATCCAATCCTTCAAACATCTTAAGTGAATATTCGTTTCCCAACTCAATCAAATCCAAACACCTTCCCTAAAAGTGGTATTACCAGCTACTGAAAGTTAAAATTGCCGCACGGAACTATATCAGTTGAGTAAGGTGTTTGGTTTATCACACTCGTTATGTTTTGTCCAAAAACTCTTGCACACCACAGAAAACTCACAGAACACTCACACAACACTCAAAGGTATAATATATAAAAACAGCTGATGTAAACATATTTTATGATAGTTCGCGCTTATATTTCATATTGTAATATCACAGACAATTTATATAATAGATATTTAGAAAAAAAATGAACTCACAAAAACCGTGTTTAAAAAATTTTCGATATACGATTACTTAATCGTTAATAGTGCTGCTAACTTGTAGAAAAAAACTATGGTCGCATATTTTAAGCATGTTTATCGATAAAATTCTGATGATATTTAATTAGAATATAATCAAGAAATTATAGTCAAATGAATTTACAAGAGAAGTGCTGCTTAAACCTCATTTAGCACTTAAGTTTGTGCAAATCTGAAATTAGTGCTTAATGTAAGCACTTTTCAAGTATCAAAATGTTTTTTTTTTAAACTTATTGTTTGTTATACCAGATGGTTTGTGATTTTAATAATGGGTAGCACAATTCCGGAAAAAAACTTATGTCATCTACTCGTATAGAGCAAGTAGTTCATTTACCAAGTAGATAAATATATCCGTTTATAGTGCATTTATCAGTTTAGATTCGCACCATTAATATTTCGGATTTTCAAGAGTTCGTTCACATGGTTTTATTTTATTAAAATATTCAAAGCAGCAGTTAAGCTCTTCACTTTTATGTGAACGTTATTGATACATACATATACCTGAATTTAATAATAGTGAAGGTATAAACCGCAAATACGCTTCAATTAAGCACGTTTATTATTATTATGAAGAAGGGATAGTACTTTGCGATCTAAAAGATCTATTGTACCTCTTAATAGGAGTAGAGTGTTTCTCCAAATCCAATTTCTTTAATGATAGACCGTTTAGAACCTTTCTTTCCTAGTCTTGAATTCCTATGTACCATTAAATACCATGGAATCAGCCATTATATTCCCTATGTGCTCCTATGTGTTTTCTCCCAATGTGCATCTGTCCCGACACTACCCTAGCACATAGTATGTGATTTCTCTCTCTTCTCTACAATACCTGCAGTTTGAGTTGGATTGGATTCCTAACCTTGTTAGGTGATTGATTGAATCATCAATAACAGATATTAGAAATAAATAGTTTTGTGAAAAACTTTTCGAAATATCATACAATGGATATATGATACACGTGCTTTTGATTTTAGGTATGCGATAAAAAAACTTTTTAAAAATGCTTTCTAACATGAAATCATTCTGAAATTTCTGATTTTTATGCAAAATGAATTGAATTATTTAAATTAATTGAGAAATGTTCTATAATTCGTACATTAAAATTTAAGTTAACTTTAAGATTCAACCATATACAGGCCTGAGACATGATCATTAAAAAAAAAAATTTTAAATATACAATCCGAAAACCCCATGGGTTGGTATCTTATATGAAATAAATTTTTTTAAATTTAATTCGAAATACAAGTCTTTTTATTTTATTGGCTTATAAAAATAATTAATAATAATAAATTATTAACTTATTAATGATTAATTTAATTTTTGTTAAAATCTGTCCTGTTAATGATAGAATGAGATCCATATTTGGATTATTATTTTCTATCTTAATATCATCACAATTTTTTTTGTTATCTTAAATACTTTCGATATTATGTTCACTGCATTACAGTTTTTAACTCTTACTAATTTCAATATTATTGAAGCAGAAACCTCCAACGCACTTGCTTCAACTGTTCAGGTCCATTTAGCCTATTAAGTGCAATTTTTGACTACTACTTTATAAGTTTCATTTGCAACGAATAGACCTAGTTTTTGGATGTTACGATGTTTGTTTCAAATTATGAGACTTCACATAAATGAGACCGTATATATTACGGTCTTTAAAATAGTAATTTAGGTTGTTGTATTAGCTAATCTCATCAATGCTTGAAAATTGCACTTTGTGGCAAGCCACATAATTGTCAGAGACCGTAAGATTACGGTCTTAGCCTTACACTGCGCACAAGTTATGATATATAGCTCAATACATTTACTATAACGGAAGGAAGTAGTTTATTAAATACTCGAACCTATGGTGAATATATACTTTTATTGAGCGAAGCAGTTGTAGTTTATTATAGCTAATAAATTAAAGAAATAATGTTTTTTTTGTAATTCAAATAGGAGAAAAATTTGTTATTTTTTATTATAAAAAGATTATTATCACATAAAACTTAACTTAATCCAATTACTAATAATAATTATTAAGTAATTGCTAATTTTACTCAAAACATATGAGATATGGTATGACAAATACAGGTGACAGATGACAGATGAATATACCAACAACTAGCAGATAAGTGCATTTTGCATCTGATGCCAGTTGACGATCGTGTAATCTTTGCTTGTTTTAGACGAAAATATGATTCCATATTTCGAGAAGATGATCTATGGTTAAAGCCAGAGATATTGTTAAATAGACTTGCCAAGACTTTTATGTTTTGAAATCTCGAATAACATAGGGTCTACTTAGTACTTCGATGAAACCAAGAATTTTTGCTCAAGGATTGACTAATATATTTTAGACTTATTTCAAACTTATTTCAAAACTTTCAATAGCAATGGGTCTATGGCTACCGATACCAATTCGTTTTCCAACGGCAATGTGAAGACCGTTGTCTTGGCAGAAGTGTTTGTCATACTTAATGTGAGCAACTGAATTAATAAAAAAAAGGCATGGGAAATACATTTACATTTGCTGTGACAGTCAGGCTGCACTTAAAGCTCTTGTTAACCCCGTCAACTCTTCAGAGACAATAAATAAATGTAAGATTATGTTAAACACTGTTGCAAAATACAATAGACTATTTGTATGGGTTCCGAGATATTGAAATGTCAAGTGATCATAATGGTGGATTGTATGGTTACTAAGTACTCTGCTAAGATGTTAACAAAACAAATTTTCGATGTCAGCTCGGCAGAAGTGCCTCGTTGGTTTAATGATTTTTCTAATGCCGTTTACCAGAGAAGATTAAGATGGTACGAAAAAAGCTTAAAGGAAACCAGCAAAATTTCTGAAGAATTTCTCTTTTTTTCTGAAGAGAAAGACCCTCACGGGGCAGCACTAATATACAACATATTTAAACTGTGATAGTTATTAGAGATTCAACATATCAATATAGTCATGAGACGGATGATAAGTCTAAATATTTTCTATTATTGCTGAACTTTTGCCAGAAGGAAACTAAGACTATTGGGTTATGATATGTTTAGCGTAAACAGTGTCTTAGGTCTTCCTTTATTTGATCTTGTTAAACTCATTACTGAAACCGAGAAATTCAAAGTGAAGACACTTTTTTGTGAATCCTCTAGTCGTTTCTGGCCTTTTCATCAGTCAAGCGTTTCTATTTCCCAGCTTTGTTCACTATTGTTTGCAGATTGAGTGCCCTGGTATTATTCTGCTCTTCATATATAAGAAAAGAAAGGGATTGTAATTATGTTCAAATACCGTAGCCATTTAGGATGTAACCGAATTTGCACTAGTGATCTACATTTGAGATTAATAATATTTTGTGGCAGGTAAGCATATAAACAAATAGAAAACAATTGTATATAATACTTACTCCTACAAAGGAGAATGCTAATCCTATAGTGTAAATTACATTATAATGTACATATAAATGATGCAGATTAAAGCGTGAGTCAATATAGAGTTATCATATATGAAGTCACAGATTTAGACTTTTAAGCCAGAAGTCTTTCTACGTCTCTACGTGGCTTTCCTTTATAAATATAAATAGTAGATCAATTTATTCAGACTTTATGGTCCATTATGATTCAGCTACTAATAAGATCCTAACTCATAGTTGATTTTAGAAACATTTTGAGGCGTTAACAAAGGACCTCACAGACCGTCTCAAATATAGAATTTCAAAATATAATCTCCTTTATCAACTGCAAAGATTGGTTTTCAAATTGATATTGTCGGATGTGCGGTACGAAATGGCGATTGTAGGCTACTTATACAATAGATGAAGCTCTTTGCATTTTAATAATATCATTTTGCGTTATCTCAAGAATTTGCTTAATTTTGTTAATTTCTTAAAATTATTGTGATTATGTAAAAATTATAAAAACTCAGTACTCACGCGCATAATTCCGCTTTGACCATTTGACGCGCAGTGTTGGCCTCATTCACCACAAACATCCAGTTTCCTTTGCTATTTAGAGCGGCCTGTGGAGTGATGAATTGTGAAGTGGTCTGACAGAGAGTTGAGCGACCAGGACTTTGACGCTTAGAACGTGAATTACTGTCTTCCTTGTTCACGCCGACAATGTCCAAGAGATCCATATTGAGAGAAACATCTCGAGATGTGGTAGGCTTTTCACCTTCAGTTTCAGTGTCTTTCGTGTTGTTTACTTTCGTTTTATCTGCAGCCGTTAGAGGATTGCTATCTGCAGCACTAGTGTAACCATGACTGATGTCACGCACAATGCGCTTCAGCCAATAAGTCGGATTATTTGGCGTACTTTTTAGATTGCCATGAAATGGATTCACTTGATTTTTATTCAAATTCAAACGTGAACCACTAGTGCCGTAGAAGAGAAAGCTAAATAAAATGAAAGTAGAAGTCATTTGAATAGAATATTGGAATAATCAACTAGAATTTTTAAATCTTTACTAGTCATCACTCACGTTGGTTGTTCAGTTGTTGGCTGCTTAGAATAAGACCGGTAAGAGTCGTCACTATATTTACCGCCGCCAACACCACCCAGTGGTGGTGTTATATATTTATAGCCGCTGAAGTCATTAGCGTTACCATTGTAATGTCGCTGCGGGAAAATGTATGCGGGATCATAGAAAACTGGAGTCTCATGCCACGCCACTGATGCAAAATCATCCCATGTCTCATCTACGAGCAGATTTTTGGCTTCGAAGCCCCATTTGTGTACGAGATGCTTGATGAGATATCTGAAAGTAGGAGATTTATTAAAATTTTTAATTAAATTATTTGCGTGCGTTTTTATTCGGAATCATTAGAGGCACTTCAAACACTTAAACTTTCTTTTCACTCAAAATTTATTTTATTTGAACTCCATTAAAAAGTATGGGTTCGGTTAGATAATGTGAGGAAGTTGCTTTCTGTTGGCAGAAAGTGCGTACATAAATCTCGGCTGATGAATTCAATTGTCGACACGCGCAGCATTAAAACAAGACGCGCTTACATCACGGCGTGAAGTGTGTCTTCGAGTTTTTTCTTTTTTTTTTTTGGTAGCAACCATCAATGACTTAAATTCCAGCGAAGCCACTTGCCACAAAATGCAATTGTTTTCAGCCACATGAGAAAATTTTTGGGGTTTTGTAATCTGAGATTATCTGCCGCTTGTTCAGTTGATTTCGTTTCGAAAATAAGTCAGTGACTTGCTATTGTTGCTGAGCTTGGAATCAACAATTCATAATTACGAACGAGTTGCTCTAAGTAAAAAAATGTGTAAAGTGCATAATTACATACTCGCTTGTACCTAAAATCACAGCGAATTGGAAGATTTATGATGTACCTCACTTTAATGTGACCGACTGCCCGAGTGCCCGACTGCTCGACTGCCTGAGTATCTGAGTATCTCAGTATGTGATGTAACAGTTGAGGTGGTTTTTTTTAGTGACCTAAAGTGCTGTGTTTCACTTTCAGTGCGTTAACTTATGATGTGAGATCAACCTTAATTGTTACAAATATTTTTTGTGTAATGGCAGTTTCATTGGATTTATCTCACATCAACGGAAATTGGTAAAAGTTTAACTTATTTCAAATCTAATATATAAAACCACAGAATTATAAGGAAAAAAAAATTAAACAAAATATTTCATATCTAATACATAATGAATTTGTTTCATACACACAAATAACAATCTAAAGCTTAGACTGTCATCCATTCTCTTTAAACGGGATCACTATTAAAAAAGTACGATTAATCTATGTTCATCTTTAATGCAGTTTTCGATTAGTACATCTGGAGTAACTTTTCAATCAAGATTTACTTTCAGTGCAATTATAAGTTCCGATTGGTAAATCTTGAGCGAAATGTATAACACTTGAGTGTAATTTATAACACTTGAGATTTATTTATAACATTTTAGATATTTTTTTAGAGTAGTAAGATCACCCCGAAATTAACAGCTGCGTTATATGATTTAATTTTACAGGTGAAATGTAATTTGATTCGACATATGTTTTGTTAAAAAAATATAAATGTCCACTAAGATAACTACAAAAATTTTAGATTAATCTAAAAATGTTCAATTGGGCAACTAAATTTGATATATCGAGAGTAAATCTAAATTGAATCTAAATAGACCAAATGAAAATGCCTTAACACTAACTATTCAAAGGACAAAGCATATAATTAGTGTTTAGTAAAAATAGCAGAGTATATGGATTTGTTATATCTACGCGATTTCCTATTCACGGGTATATCGTTTTGGCAAAGTATATTAGTAGTGAAAAGAATATTTTGCTCTCATTCTCTAATAATTCATATTAACAACAATAAGTAGCTAGATAGGTAAAAATGGCTATCGATTACATAGTGTGGCAGACGATACATTTAAGCACTGTAAAATCCCTTTGGGATTATAGCTAGTGCTCAATTAAAATCAGGATATAGCATCGCGCTAATTAGGCATTTGTCGCGCATAAGCACGTCTATTCCCACTGTGTGCCCAATCTCGAGCTCTATCTGCCATGCTTTCGCCCATCTTTTTATTTGCCACACTGCACACACCAACTTCCGCCTAATGGACATTTGGATCCATACGTTTGAAGTGGCTAGGTTTCTCCATCTGAATCCGGGTTGATTTCTATTTAAAACCCACCCATTCTCAATCCAGCCTTCTTCTTGATTCCCCCTCTTCTAATTCCTTTCTACCCTAATGTCCTTCTGCTCTGAATCAGTCAGCTCCTATTTCCACATAACCCGTGTATTCGTCTTGTAAGTCCTGTCAGATTAGTTGCTATAAGATCCCAGCGGGTTATAACAACAATAACAACATACAATTAAGCTAAATTGACTCATTGTGTTACCACATGATCCCGGCAGAATCTCTAAAATTTAAGTTTCACTAAACTATTGTGTTGCTGTGAACAATCGCAATAGCATTTGTAATGAAAAGCTGACAACATAATGTGTGACAGAAAATATTATCAGTGAAAGGACCAGTTGGTCAATTATTTGAGAGCTCTCGGTACTACTAACGGCGGCAGAAAGCCACTGAACAGACTGATTGGCGGATGTTATTTGACACGGCAATTAAGTAAGTAAGTATTAGAGAATATTTTTGATTGAATGTAATATATATTCTTGGAGCATGATGGCCTGCTAGTCAGTGTTCGGTACTGACATCTAATAAACATTAATGATAAGAACAATTTTTAACTTGATGTGACCATGACTGTCTGTATAACATGTCTCTTACAGTAATCTTTGATGAAGTTTAATATGTGAAATTTCTCAAAAACTATTGATAATTGACTTAATATGTTTATATCCGATATAAATTGCTTTTATCCATTATCTTTTTATGACAACACAGTCTTAGTAGCATTAAAGATCCATTAGTCATCGTCATCGTATTTTCTATCTATACATAGTACCATTAGACGATGTCAACAAAATACAGCTAATATGGGCTTAGTATGCCTAAAGTGTGACAAATTTATGGTCTTTGGCATAGAAAACGTACACCTACAGACAATACCTACAACAAGTTTTTCGTAAGTCTAAGCTTAAGAGTGAGCAAAGCTCTTAATGCCATTATTCGACAATAAAGTATGGTTATTGTTTTTGCCCGGCATAATTTAAGCATTGGGCACAACATTTTCGTAGTTTGTGGGCTTAGACACATACCTATTTTGAAGACATGGAAAAATGCATAGCAAAGGTTAAAATACGCATTTAAGTAGCAAAGTGCATTCTTGTCTCTTGTTATGACTAAAAATAGCCCAAAGCAATCTGGAAATGTTACTAAAAAGCGTTAAAAGCGTTGTCTACATAGGCCGAGTTTGGCACCAAATCGTGGCTTGGGCAACTCATTCATGTCACGTGCCATTTGCCGTTGGTGTTTGGGTCGGGCTCGGCGTATGACCGGCAGCAAAACTCATAAAATTATACAAAAATTTAAATTGAAAAATGAAATTTTGAAAAAAAGAAATATTTTGTCTCCGCATTTCTTTATGAATTTATTAAAAAAAAAAAAAACAAAAATAATATTATTTAACCTGACTTTGGTTAAATCACATTAAAAGCACTGAGACAAATTTGTCTTGAAAATATGGCTATGTTGGCGCCAAAGTGCGACTTCTTCGAATTATGCGACGAAAATTAAAAGAAAAATTTATGTTTAAGCTTTGTGTAAGACTAAGTTTTCGAGTGTTATTTTTCAGAGATATGTAAAGAAAGCTTTTAGTTGATATTATTTTACCAAAACCCATTGAAATTAAGCAATAAATGCATTTAAATCCAACTGATGATGCGTTAATGATGTGTGTCTTTATATTCAATGATGTTGCTAGCCACTTTTTGTATATTTTTTAAACAAAACTATATCTTCTAATTAAAATTGAATAGAAATTGAACTCGTTTGGGAAAAATTATTTCCTTATTTAGATATAAACACAATTTTTAATTGTTCCACTAAAGACACTTTAAGACTGGAATGAGACATAAAAGATCACCCAATCAGCACTTAAATCAGTCTCAGATCAGTCCAAATGTTATCAGTGCAAGCAAATAAATTTTAACGTCTCTTTTAATTAATAAAACTCAGTTTAAACAATAAAAAATCGTATAAATAAAAACAAAACACACTCATACGCTACGTTCGCCTGCAGTAGACATGCAAGTTTCGGTTGATTAATTAGCTAATTAGTAGCAAAACTACACACATGCCTTCTATGCTAATTTAAATAAATCGATTTTATTTGTCGTACAACTGCAAAATATCACAACAAATCTTCTGAGCCAAGCTCAGCTCAACTGAACTGAGCTGAACTGCGCTGAACTGCGCTGGGCTAAGCTGAGCTGAACTGAGCTGAGCTTAGAGTGCTGAACATGGCTAAACATTAGACCAAATCGAGTTAGAAAAAAGCGTCATTATTTAAGCAAAAAGAAATCAATAATTATAAGGCAAATGACTAGAGCTGTCAATTCAAGTTTATTGGGTCAAGGAATTCCTTAGCTTACGGCGCATACAGCTTAGATACAAGATACAACTAAGTTAAGATACAATTCAAAGCAGCCAAAAAGATTGCAGAGCAAAGCTGCGCTTGAATTTTATGCAAATTAGTTCAAGTCTAACGCTTATTTTTAATTTTTTTTTTTTTTCAATTTTGTATCTGAAAACATTATACAATGTGCTCAACTTGTTTCTTAGTCTAAGACTAACGTTTCGCTTTTGTTGCCCAAACTTCTTTTGGCCAATAACTGGTTTAAGCCATTTAACGTTCCGTACAGAAAACTGTTAAACTGATGTGGCTTTTAGCATTTTCAACCTTTTTCTCAAGTTTATAGATACACGCCGCACTGAAATGCTTTCGATTTCATTTTCAAGTTTGTCTGTTTTCTGTTTTTGCTGTACTTACGTTGGATAATTGTCGACATGTTCGCAATATGTTTTTCCCGGTCTGGCACATGAGGGCGTGTGACCCGGAGGTGCTGGCAAAAATTGACATGGTGGTGCTCCATAGAGACCGCATGGGGGTGAACTAAGTGCTGATGAAGTATAAACTAATATCTGTAAGAAAAATATATAAATTCTATTAATATATTTGATAAATGAAGACGTATGTGTTTATATTAATATGGTTAGGTTAGGTTATACCGGTGATCCCTAGTGGATCCACTTAGGTCTATTGGCCCATTGTGATGCCATATAAAATTAATAAAAACCTCAGGGTTTAAAACCACCTAGAACCTTTTGCGAAGCATAAAATGCTATTTAAAGCCAGATCGTGTAACTGGTCCAGGTCCTCAAGGAAGGTGGCTCCTAAGGTACTAAATCGCCGACGTGCATGACCTGGACAAAAACACAAAAGATGAGATGCGCTCTCATCGTCCTCCCCACAGCTACGACAGATTTGGTTGAAAGGAAGACCTAGTCTTCTAGCATGGTTCCCTAGTTTACAGTGTCCTGTAGTCAACCCTACCAGAAGACCAATGTCCTTGCGGGAGATCTCAATTAGAGTTTTCGATTTCCTTTTATCGGAAAGTGGCCAGATTGCATACAGATGTCTACATATCGTTGAGTCTTCCCATCTTTTGTTAAAAGTATTAGTGCAGAAAGAACTCAATAACAATTTACATGACGTTAGCGATATGCCCAGATAGTCTAGGTGCTCCGAGTATGGTTCTGAAGCACCCTTTCTGGCTAACTCATCTGCTTTGCAATTTCCGAAAATATCCCTATGGCCGGGAACCCAATGTGTAGCAGTCAAGAACCGTCCTAGATGTTAATTGGACCGAACTCAAGGACTTTAATGCAGCTTGACTGTCTGATAGTATGTATATATTCCTGCCAAATATATCATCTACATTCAAACAAGCTATAGCTTCACTGATGGCGACTTATATTGATATAGAAAATGAAAAAAAAAGTAAGGGTTAGCTTTGTCGATACTTTATATATAAAAAATAGGAAGAACATTGCCTATTCAAAATATTTTTAATTTTTTTCTTATCAACTAATCATTCAATCCTGGGTTGAACATAAACTTTAGAATACTGCTATATATCTATAACCAGTGAAGTAACGTAAATTAATGTTGTTTATGATTGGTAAATCTGGATTCAATCTAGATTTACTCTTGATCTGCGATATTGTGATGCCCAATCGAACGTTATCTAACATTTTTGTAATTGTATTAGTGGGCATTAATATTAAGTGTAACTTTTTCAATTGAGAATCACATTTAGTGC